TGCCTCATCGTTCTCTCACAAATCTCGCAAACAGGTATGGGCCCTTCATGCACCTTCAACTTGGGCAGGTTTCTCATATCATAGTGTCTTCACCAGAATATGCCAAAGAAATAATGAAGACCCATGATCAGATCTTTGCAAATAGGCCCAAAAATCTTGCCACTGATATCTTGACCTATAATAGCACAGATATCATCTTTTCCCCATATGGAAACTATTGGAGGCAACTTCGAAAGATTTGTACTTTAGAGCTTTTCTCAGCAAAAAGGGTTCAATCGTTTAGAAGGATTAGGGAAGATGAGGTATCAGCATTGGTAAGAAACATCTCTGAACATGAAGGCTCTGTCATCAACCTCAGCCAAAAAATCTCAGAACTCACGAATTCTATTGTTGCAAGAGTGGTCTTTGGAAAGAAGACAGAGAATGTAGAACAAATCCTACAAATTATAGAACAAGGACAAAAGGAAAGCTCTGGGTTGTCCATTTCTGATTTCTATCCTTCGCTGAAATTTCTTAGTACCATCACTGGGATGAGAGCTCGAGTTATAAAGCTGCACGATGGTGGAGATAAAGTGTTTGATGAAATCATCAAAGACCACAAAGAAAAGAAAAGAAATAATGTTGGAGAGGCAGAGGAGGATCTAGTTGATGTTCTTCTCAGAATTCAAATGGATGGTGACTTGGAGATCCCCTTATCTCTTGACAACATTAAAGCTGTTCTTAAAGTTAGTCTTTTATCATATTAAATGTTGCCCTTTTTTTTTCTTGCGAGCAATATTAAATGTTACATAGTTTGTGATTTGATACACAAAGTATAATGCACAAATGCACACATACGTTCCTCAAAATCAATTTTGTGAATTCCTTCCTTTTCAGGATGTTTTCTTTGCTGGAACTGAAACAGCGGCAACTACAACAGATTGGGCGATGTCAGAATTGCTCAAAAACCCAAAGGCTATGAAAGAGGCACAAGAAGAGGTATAACTACAACTACAATTTTGAATGTTTTGTATCATAATTTTGTGGGTTGTGTTATTTATTTATATTAATTTATAAATAGTATTGAGTTGACTTAAACGTGAGAGTTATTATTGGCTTTATAATAGGTAAGAAGAGTCTATGGACACAAAAAATATGTAGATGAATCAGAACTTCACCAATTAAAATATGTAAGTGCTGTCATCAAAGAAACCTTAAGGCTCCATTTACCAGTGGCACTGTTGGTTCCAAGAGTGAATAGTGAGAGTTGTGAAATCAATGGATATGTGATACCTCCTAAGACAAAAATTATCATTAATGCTTGGGCCATTGCAAGAGATCCCAAGAATTGGAATGATCCAGAGATGTTTGAACCAAGGAGATTTCTTGATACAATGATTGATTACAACTTCAAAGGTTCACACTTTGAGTATATCCCATTTGGTGCTGGAAGAAGAATCTGTCCGGGGCCCACATTTGCTGCGCCTGTTTTAGAGTTATTACTTTCCAGTTTACTTTACCATTTTGATTGGAAGCTGCCAAAGGGAGGAATTGGACATGGATGAGTCATTTGGTGCTGTGATAAGAAGGAAAAGTAATCTGAATTTAGTTCCTATTCGCTATTCCCCTTGAGTTTATGTGGTTGCTACTTGAATGATATTTGGATCAGTTTCAGATATCCTTGATCTATGTTGTGGAAGCGAGGATTGAATAATAAATGGTTTTGATTTGAATATTTATTTTGTGAAAAGGTATAAATTAAGTGCTTTTTTCATCATTTATTCATAAAAGAGAGAAGTGCAATAAATCTTAAAAGACTCTCATTTATTTCTCATAAAAAGCTCTCCTTCTGAGAGAGTATAATAGCGGCTTGTCAATTTTGTATTTTCGCATCGAATTTAACTTATAATTTTTAAGACAAGAATTTCCACTACAAACCAATATTAGTTAGACTATATTTTCTTTATCCCAAAAAGAATAAATAGGACTGGAAGGATATATATAGCTAGCATCATGATGACTTGACATTTTTTCAATTGAATCAATCGACTCTCTTTTATGGATGACACATTCTGATCCTTAATTTTGTGTATATTTTAATTGAATGACACACTCGACTATTACTAATTTCATTATTAAAAAGACAAATCGTTTGAGGAATTAATTAAGAATGGTAAAACGAAACGGGCGCCACATGCATGTGGGGCTAAAGTGTCTGAAACTAGCTCCCGTGCTTAATACAATAATTAGATGAATAATTTGAACATATTAAACAATTAGTTAAATTAGTTATTTGTAACAAATATATTTTGACTTCTCTAACTTATTACTCCCTCCGTTCCTTATTATAAGAGACATTTGATGCTTATGCCATGTTCCTATATATAAGAGACACTTAAAAGTTGTCTCTACTTTTTTGTGTTGATTTCCTATTTTACCCATATTTATTGTCTCTAACTCACACTCTCTCTCCCTCTCACTTCTCTTTCTTTCAATAATTTAATTATTCTTTCTCATGCTCTCTCTCCTTATTAATGAGGGCATTTTTGAAAAAAAAATTATATTGATTGTTCTTAACTAATTTTAACTGCTTTTTTATCAACGTAATTCGGTTATTCGTCTCTATAATAAGGAACGGAGGGAGTATCTTTGATCATATACATTGGGACTACCGCTTGGATGGGGTATTTTACATTCAATAAGGATATTTTAAAAAAATATAAATTTGAGAGACATTAGATTTACAATTAAATTCATATTTACCTAGCTCTTATATGATTGGAGGTAAATCAATGAATTTGTCTGAAATATTTAGTTATAAAGGCATTTTCTTCTATAACATCTTGTGAGTAAACGTTTAATTGATTTTGTATTAAAAGGTTTATTTTATCCCTAAAGTATTTAAGTCAAAAATTGGTATTGTTTTTACCGAAACTTATCCCTGAAGTATTTATATCAATAATCGGTAATTAATCCTATGACTAAGCTAGGCAAGATAGACACATGTATAGCCCGTAGCAACGACATCAATATAATTCATGGTTAGCGTGAGTTAGCAAATCTTTTTCTTTTTCTTACGGAACGAATCATTTCTTGACAAACCAAATGAAATTCTTTTTTTTTTTTTAATTTTTTAACTAAAACATGTGCCTCATGTGCTAACGTACGCGTTGAGTATTAGTGCGGCAAGCTGAGGGATCTCCTTGTGACCGATGAGTTCCTAATTAATAAGTCAAGATAAATATGTATATACACATGTAACTTGCGACAATAATGTTGCTAATTGATCCTTCATCTAGATTAATAGATTTTTTTATTATTAATGAATGCCTGATTGGCAAAACACGTGGCACCTTAAACACTAAGCCACACATGTTTTGTTTTTTTAAAAAATACAGATACCATCTATATTATTAAACGTTTGTGTGTGAGTTACTCTTTCATGAGTATTTTTATTTTCTATGTATAGGTGTTCTCTTGTTAAAGATAATCATATTTGAGATATTATCGGGTATTAAATGTAAGAAGATAATCATATTTAAGATATTATCAGATATTAAATATGAATACCTCAATTTGAACATACCTTTTTTATGAATACTCCTCCGGTCCTAATTATAAGACCCAATTGACTTATTTGAGGAAATTAAGGAAGTAAGTTAAGTTGGTTATTTATAATAAATAAATATTGTCATTCCTAAAATATCCTTGCTAATTAAGTATATTAGCTAAAACTATCATTATTAGAAGGATTATCTTGGAAAAAAATGCATAAATATAAGAGACAAAATAGATTTGGGTCTTATAATTAGGATCAAATAAAAAATCAAATGGGGTCTTATAATAAGGACCGGAGGAGTATTTTAAAAGCAAATTAAAATGGTCTTTAACTCAAAGTCAATTCGGAGTTAATGATCAACGTCAATATTCATTAGTCAAAGAATACAATCGCAACGATTTTGATATTTAAGAGGTGATCTTGTTATAATAAATAGTCTTTTTTTTAGCAGCCATAATAAATAGTCTAAAATAACTAGTGCTTCTCATAATATATAGAGTATAGTTCAAGGACAAAAACCTTTAACTCGAATTTTTATTTCAAAGGGGCCCATGCATTTACCGATATCTACAGTTACTTTGAACTTGTGGTTTATAGTTTAAAAGCCATATAAAACGACAGATCAATTAATTTAAATATTTTAATATAAATTTTCTTTAAAGCCCGTGACAGCTTTTGATTCCACTTACTATGATAGCGACATTATTGATGAAGTAATGAATAAGATAATTTAAAATTATCAACAAACTTTATTTAAACCGCAGCAAGTCAATGGCGTGAAATTTGCGTCAAAACAAAAATAAAGGAAAAAATCATAAAGTTGATCTTTACTTTACTTGCGAATTACAATGCACACCAACAGTAAAGGATATAAAGACATTTGTGAAATTTTACATTGTAAAAATGATACCTCGGGTTGTAATTATAAAATCTTATTTATAGTCTATAAATAAGATCTTATAATTAGAACTAGTTAGAGAGGCAGAGATAGTATAATATAAACTTATAGGTAAACCTTGCTGATATAGCAATTTCTCAGTAACATTAGATATACGTTTTTTAAAAAAAAAAGAATAAATCATAAAGTCTTACTATCTTTCATATATAAAATTTAATTGGCTAATTTGGAAAAACTAATAAAGTTAAAAAATTATTTAGTTATATTATATGTTACATGAACTTTTTAACATACTTATATGCATAATTATATTATATATAAGTTTATTAACTGAGCAAATTAGTTTAAAAAAAATCATAAATATAATACGTTTAAGTAATTTATTTAACTCTCTTAATTTCTCTATATTAATAAATCGGATCTTATTTTATGGATTAGAGGGAGTATAAATTATGATAATCTGTCTCAGCCCGAAAGGACATGAAAAAAGTGTTTTGTCATATAAAAGGCATTGTTTCACAGCGCAAAACCTAACACTCAGCTTTAATTAACAATTCTTTCAATATGGAGATACAGATCCCATATTCCATCATCTTCACCTTCTTTTGCTTCTTCTTTCTGATCCGCAAGCTATCTTCTTCTTCCAAGAAACCCATCAAAACCCTACCTCCAGGGCCATGGAAATTACCTCTCATCGGAAACCTCTACCAACTTGTGGCTCACTGCCTCACTGCCTCAACGTTCTCTCACAAATCTAGCAAACAAGTACGGGCCCTTCATGCATCTTCAACTTGGACAGGTTTCTCATATCATAGTGTCTTCACCGGAATATGCCAAAGAAATAATGAAGACCCATGATCAGATCTTTGCAAATAGGCCTACAAATCTTGCCACTGATATCTTTTCTTGCAATAGCACAGATATTGCCGTTTCCCCATATGGAAACTACTGGAGGCAACTTGGAAAGATTTGTGTTTTGGAACTTTTCTCATCAAAGAGGATTCAAGCTTTTAGAAGAATAAGGGAAGAAGAGGCATCGACGCTGGTGAGGAACATCTCTGAACATGAGGGTTCTGTCATGAACCTCAGTAAAAAAAATCCTGGAACTCATGAACTCCATAGTGGCAAGAATGCAGAACATGTCCTGCAAAATTTAGAGCAGGTGACAAAGTTAAGCTCTGCATTATCAATTTTCGATTTCTATCCTTCGCTAAAATTTATCAGTGTCATCACTGCGGTGAGAGCCCGAATGATGAAGCTGCACAAAGATGGAGATAAAGTGTTCGATCGATGACATCATCGGAGACCACGAAGAAAAGGGGAAAAATAGTGTTGGAGAAGCAGAGCAGGATCTAGTTGATGTTCTCCTGAGGATTCAAAAGGATAATGACTTTGAGATACCATTATCTCTTGAAAACATTAAGGCAGTTCTTAAGGTTAGTTTGCATGCACTTTACCCATAAATGTCACTACGTTACTGATATAAGAGCTAGTTGACTAATTTGAATAGATTAAAAAAAATAGTAGAGTTAATTATTTATAATAAATATGTGTTGTTTTTCTGAAAATATCTTTGCTAATCATGTGTCATTTGATGAGACATTTAACATTTACAACTACTACGAGGACTTGCTTGTAAAAAATATATAAATATGAGAGACAAAGTGAATTAGGGTCTTATATTGAGGATTAAATTGAAAGTCAAACTAGTTCTTGTATTAAAGAGTGGATGTGGTATATAGTTTGTAATCTAATACACAAAACACATGCACATACATACACATCTCTCTAATCAATTGTTTGAATTCCTTCTTTAGGAATTTTTTTCGCTGGAACTGAAACAACAGCAACTACAATAAACTGGACAATGTCGGAATTGCTCAGAAACCCAGAGGCTATGAAAGAGGCACAAGCGGAGGCATAGGCACAAGAAGTTGCGTATGTGTGTGTATAAATAGGGCTTGATGACTCTTACTATATATACCTCATCATTTAGGTTTTGGGAAATTTGATTTTTTTTAAATTTTAAAATTAATCAGAATTTAGAACAGTAAATCATTTTCCATGATTATAAGCAAACGTAAAATAATGTCAATTTTTCAATAAAATCTCAAGATAGATTGAAAATAAATTTTTTAAATCCAAAAAATGAACTATTATTTATTTACTGATATTGATTATAAATTTGAATTCACTCAGTTGACTTGCATCTAGTAATTATTAGTGCCTTTACATGTTAGTTAAGAAGAGTCTATGGAAGCAAAGAATACGTGGATGAATCAGAACTTTACCAATTAAAATTTTTAAGTGCTGTCATCAAAGAAACTCTAAGGCTACATCCACCAGTAGTATTGATTCCAAGAGAGAACAATGAAAGTTGTGAAATTAATGGATACGTGATATCTCCTAAAACAAATTAAAGATTATCATTAATAGTGGGGCTATTGGAAGAGATCCCAAGATTTGGAACGAACCAGAGGGATTTGAACCAAAGAGGTTTTTTCAAACAATGGATGATTACAACTTCAAAAGTTCAAACTTTGAGTACATTCCATTTGGTGGTGGAAGAAGAATATGCCCGGGAATTACATTTGCTACATCCATTTTGGAGTTGTTACTATCTAATTTGCCATACCACTTTGATTGGAAACTTCCGAAGGAGATGAAAGCTGAGGGATTGGATATGGATGAGTCATTTGGTGCTGTGGTAGCAAGGAAAAAGGATTTAAGTGTAATTCCTTTTCGATATTCTCCTTAATATGTATATAGGTTATATATATGTGTTTAATTATTATCTGAATGAATGGTGTTTTCAATACTTTTAAATGTCCTTGAATCTATGCTGTGGATGCTAGAAATGAATAGTAAAATAATATCATTTTGAATTGAACATTTATTAGTCAAAAGTTACAATTCATGTGATCTGCAATCATATACATTAAAAACTGCAGGACAAGGGATAAAAAGCCGGTAGAGTACTTGTTTTTATTATTAAACGGTCTCCACGTCCTTCCAATACTACTTTTCATTAAATTGATTAAACAAAAAAAATAATTAGAACTTAGAAAAACAGTTTCTCAAAACCCCAACTCTGATGTTATAAGAAGTTATCAGTCTCTTCATGAGTTAAATAATTTGTCGCGAGAAGCAAAATTAGTGTTTTAGAATAATACAAAGTACACAAGCAACGTTTGAAAAGAAAGTACTCAAATTTTATAGATAGAAACACCAAAAATAATAATGTATATAGGGAGTCTTCATATTAAGAAAGCCAAAACAAGAACTTAATTAGAAGAATCCGATTCATGAGGAATGACTTGTTTTTGTTTTTTGAGGAAATTAATGTGGTAGGATGATTAAAGAACACAATTATGATCGACTTAACTATGGTTCTCCATTCTCTAACCTCTGTTTTTTATTTTCATGGATTGAATCATTTTCTTGGTTTATTTTCCCTTAGGAACACGACATACTCATCATATGGGATAGAAAAAGCCCACCATCATAACTTAACTAGTACAAAACCATTTTTTTGTTGTTTTTCTTTCCAAGTACAAGTATTATCTTATTGAAAATGATGTCATGTACTAAATACAGTATGTTCCAATTTGTCTTTGGTATATTCTATGTGTGGCGGGTTCTGTGCATCATTGCTCGAATGTGTCTGGTCTTTTAGTCTAATTTGAATTTCTTTACGTAGTCATTTTATCTTTTAATAATGTTAATTTTTGTATTAAAAGAATATTTTTTTTAAAAATTCCATTGATGCTAATAATGCGGACTTTTCTTTTGCTTGGTCACATGAAAATGGCATCTCTGGGTTCCACAATTTTCCCCTTTTTATATTCGAAACAGCAGGCTGGTTTTGGGACTTGGGAGTGCATTATTGCATACTCCTCAGTATGTGACCCATTCAGATTAATCTTGAATCATCAAGATTTATACTAGTTTGCTTGGATTAATGGATGTTAGGTGAATTTTATTTCAACAGACTTTTTAATAAATTGAGTTAAGATAAAACTAAATTAGTATAATGGATAATTGTTTATAAAAAAAGTTTGTTTTTAATAGATATATAATTTTAACTAAGGAATTTTATAATGATCACTTTTAAGAAATAAATTTATTATTAAAAATTTACATATTAAAAATATTTAATCTGGACCATCAATCATATTTTGGACAACAATGATAAAACTTTCATCACCCCGCTTAGAGGGTGTTTAAGATACTTAAAATCACTTAAAAATAGTATTTTTATGTAAGTTGAGACAAAACTCGATCCTCTTACATATGTATTTTGTATGCTATAGAATTATTTTTAAAATTATGGTTTGGTTTCTACTAAAATACTTTCTTAATGAGAATTGGACACGTCTACACAAATGCAATTAATTAATGGAATTTTGTCTTTGCATCAAAACTATAGTTTCTAACACATGAATTTCAACCACAAGCCTAATCACAGCACACAATGATGTGGACATTTGTGGAATTGTACATTGTGAATATGACATAACATATATAAATATAAAAAAAAATCTTTTTCTTTAGTAGCTAGCCTCAGAAAGTCAATGGCAAATAAATATGCAATAAATTGAAAACAAAAATAAAGAAATCACGCCTCAATTATTGAATACAGAAGGCATGACTTGACAACCCAAAACCTGGCTCTTATTGGCTTTATCATTCCTTCAGCTTTAATACATATGCAACCATGGAAATATATACATATCTCATATTCCATCATCTTGACCTTCTTCTGCTTCTTCTTTCTGCTCTGCAACCTATCTTCTCCCAAGAAACCCACCAAAACTCTACCTATAGGGCCATGGAAGTTACTTCTTATAGGAAACCTACACCATCTTGCTGGCTTACCACCTCATAAAGTTGTTCTATATTTTAATTACAAATTACATTTCGCACCAATAATAAAAGGATATAACGACATTTGTGGAATTTTACATTATAAAATAATATAAAATTATAGGTAAACCTTGCCGAAAAGCAACTTATCAACGGCGTGAGATTTACGTTTAAAAAAAAAAGGGGATAAATCATAAAGTCTATCTTCTTTATGTAAATACTGCGTGCTGTCCTTAATATATAAAATATAATTGACTAATTTAAAAAAATTAAAACAGTTCAAAAATTATTTAATTATATCATATGTTATATGGTCTGTCTAAAATACCTATATGTATGATTAGATTATATAGCAATTTATAAATTAAACAAATTAGTTTGAAGAAAAACAACAAACATAATACTTTAGAGTTTTTATAAGCCAAGTAAATTAGTTGGAAAAAAATAATAAATATAGTATTTTAAAGTAATTTATTTAACTTTATTAATCTTTTCAAATTAGTAAACTGTACCTTATATTAAGAAAGCATAATACTTTAAATTTGTTATAAGTTGAGTAAATTAGTTTGGAGAAAAACAAAAAATATAATATTTTAAAGTAATTTATTTAACCTTTTTAATCTCTTGAAATTAGTAAATTAGACCTTATATGAAGAATGAGAGCTAGTATAAGTTATGATGATCTGCATCATCCCAAAAGGAGGGGGGAAGTATTTTCTCATATAAAAGGCATTATTTCACGATACAAAACCTCAGCTCACACTTATCTTCAATTAAAATTCTTTCAATATGGAGTAAAGATCCTATATTCCATCATCTTCACCTTCTTCTTCTTTCTAATCTGGAAGCTATCTTCTTCCAAGAAACCCACCAAAACCCTACCTCCAGGGCCATGGAAATTACCTCTCATCGGAAACCTACACCAACTTACTGGCTCCCTACCTCATCGTTCTCTCACAAATCTTGCAAACAAGTACGGGCCCTTCATCCATCTTCAACTTGGACAGGTTTCTCATATCATAGTGTCTGCACCTGAATATGCCAAAGAAATATTGAAGACACATGATCGGGTCTTTGCAAATAGGCCAAAAAGTCTTGCCACTGACGTCTTTTCTTACAATAGAACAGATATTGTCTTCTCCCCATATGGAAATTATTGGAGGCAGCTTCGAAAGATTTGTCTGCTAGAGCTTTTCTCACCGAAGAGGGTTCAGACTTTTAGAAGAATAAGAGAAGAGGAGGTATCGACACTTTTGAGGAACATCTCTGAACATGAAGGTTCGTTCTGCCATAAACCTTAGTAGAAATATCTTCGCACTCACAAATTCTATAGTGGCGAGAGCAGCCTTAGGCAAAAAGACAGATAATGTAGAACATATCCTACATAATCTGGAGCATGTGACAGAGCTATGTTCTGGCTTGTCAATTTCCGATTTTTATCCTTCGCTGAAATTTATTAGTGTTGTCACTGGGATGAGAGCTCGAATTATGAAAGTGCAGAAAGACGGTGATAGAGTGTTTGATGATATCATCAGAGACCACATAGAAAAGAACAGGAACAATGATGGAGAGTACGAGAAGGATCTCGTTGATGTTCTTCTCAGGATTCAAAAGGACAATGACTTTGAGACCCCATTATCTTTCGAAAACGTTAAAGCAGTTCTTAAAGTTAGTTCGTGTGCACTTTTACCCCCATAGATATTATAAATTTTTAATCTGATGCACAAAACACACGCACGCACACATCTCTATAATCAATTGTTTGATTTCCTTTTTCAGGATGTTTTATTTGCTGGAACTGAAACAACAGCAACGACAACAAACTGGGCAATGTCAGAATTGCTCAAAAACCCAGAAGCTATGGAGGAGGCACAAATGGAGGTATATAGGCACAACAAAAACTTTGAAATAACTGTATTACAATTTAGCAAGTGTTGTTTGTTTGTGTATTAAATATGACTCTTACTATACCCCAGGTCATTTAAGGGTGCTCGTTTTAGATTTTTTTTTTGAAGGGGAATTACAATTAAGTCTAAAAAAATTACTAAAAAGTTTGAATAATAGCCTAAGTAGCTTATAACAACAAGTTCTAAACTTCAAAGTAGAAAATGATAATTTCTTAGACTTGTTTTGTAATTTTTTTTTCCTTAAAACCTTATTGTAATTCTCCCATTTTTTAAAAAAATCATTGACTATGTGTGTATTAAATATGACTCTTACTACACCCCAAGTCATTTAGGGCTGCTTGTTTTAGATTTTTTGAAAAAAATCACTGACCAAACATTTAAGGGTTAAAAACACTTTTATTTGATTTGAATTTTGAAAATGAATCAGAATAAAAAAACCAGTAAGTCATATAATGACCAAACAAAAACTGACGTCAATTTTTCATAAAATCTAAAATAGGTTGAAAATCAATTATTTATTTTTAATCTCCAACAAAAAGGCCATTATTTGTTTGTTGAAATTGATTATAAAATTGAAATTATTGATTTGACTTATGTATGATAATTATTATTGGCTTTATATTAGGTAAGAAGAGTTTATGGAAGCAAAGGATATGTAGATGAATCAGAACTTCACCAATTAAAATATTTAGCTGCTGTCATCAAAGAAACTCTAAGGTTACATCCACCAGGAGTATTGTTGGTTCCGAGAGAGAACTATGAGAGTTGTGAAATTAATGGATATGTGATACCACCCAAGACAAAGATTATCGTTAATGCTTGGGCCATTGCAAGAGATCCCAAGAATTGGAATGATCCAGAGATGTTTGAACCAAGGAGGTTTCTTGATACAATGGTTGATTACAACTTCAAAGGTTCAAATTTTGAGTATATCCCGTTTGGTGCTGGAAGAAGAATATGTCCTGGAATTACATTTGCTATACCTGTTTTAGAGTTGTTGCTTTCCAATTTGCTTTACCATTTTAATTGGAAACTTCCAAACGGGATGAAGCCTGAGGAGTTAGACATGGATGAGTTATTTGGGGCCTCAGTAGGAAGGAAAAAGGATTTAATTGTAATTCCCATCGGCTATTCTCCTTAGTACTATATGTCCTTGTCACATGGTGTTAAAACTCAATTAAGTCGGTAGGGCACACTATTAAATGAATAAACTACTCTTTTGGACTTTTGGTTTTCTGATCATGAGCGTTGGGTACAAGTTTATTGTGTTGGACTTTATTCTTTTTTTTTCCCCCTTACGTTGCTTAGTTTGAAATGATACCATGTTGAGTTAAGAAATAATAGCTCGTTAGATTTATATTTTAGTAATTCTATTTTATTAGATTTTTTTGTGATTTATACATAAATATTTCATTTATTTGTGGATTATGTTTTGGGAAAATTGCAAAAAAAGACCTTGGAATTGCAAAAACGCAGATAGGGACCCTTGACAACTTCACTTTGGGTTTTGACAACTTCAGGGCATATCATTCTTGTCAAAACCCAAAGTGAAGTTGTCAAGGGTCCCTATCTGCGTTTTTACAATTCGAAGGTCTTTTTTTGCAATTTCCCCTTATGTTTTTCTTTAAATATTGCTTTTTAGAATTATATCTGTATAATTCTATAAGATTTAATTATATTATATTATTTTAATGATAATTGGGTTTACCCTTGTTCAACAATGCGTTTGGACCGCTTACCCTTAAATTATGAGAGAAATTCTTGCATGCACTGGAAGTACCATGTAATTTGTGATCTGTCCAATTAAATGAAATCAACTTAGATAGATGCGGTCTTACCTGGCATTACGGTGAGAGTAACAAAAGATTGTGGGTCCCACAAAAAATTAATACTTAACAATTTCTCTCTCTTCCTCCCATTTTCACTTCCGACATTGCCCTTCTTTCTTTTCAGTCAAGCTGCCAAAAACCGTCCCAAAAAAACCTTCATCCATTAACCCCATTTCATCAACGTTCCCGTCCTTGCAATATATATATACATATATATATTGCCTGGATTTCCCGCAATATATTAAAAATATTTTGCTTATATTTACTTATAACATTTATATTAATTAAGTTCATCTCATAAAATGAGCCAAAAAATCTCATAAAATAATAAATACATAGTCATAAATATTTTTTGAGTTGAGAAATGATTGCATTACTTAGATAATGTACAGAGAATTAAACTTTAAATTATTGAAAATCATTGTTAAATTTTGAGTCGCATTTAGATAAAATTTCTCATTTTTTTAATTGAATTCACAAACATACATAATATTTTTAGTCTTTAATATAATAGAAGAGTTAAATAAATAATTTATCAATTTTAAGAGAATTACTTAAGTTAATCATTTATAATAAATATGTATTAAAGTTCATCTCATAAAATTAGCCAAAAAATCTCATAAAATAATAAATACATAGTCATATATATTTTTTGAGTTGAAAAATGATTTCATTACTTAAATAATGTACAGAGAATTAAACTTTAAATTATTGAAAATAATTTTTAAGTTTTGAGTCACATTTAGATAAACTTTCTCATTTTTTTAATTGAATTCACAAACATACATAATATTTTTAGTCTTTAATATAATAGAAGAGTTAAATAACTAATTTATCAATGTTAAGAGAATTAGTTAAGTTAATAATTTATAATAAATATGTATTAATTTTTTAGAATGTTTTTTAATCATATGCATTATAATTATTCCTTCATGAAAATATTCTTATTATGTGCAGTTAATAAAAATATATTAAAAAAAATATGAATTTAGAAATAAAAATAAATTATGATGACTAAATTAAATTTCTTATCTAACTCATATTTAGACTTAAAGGTAGTATTTTTGTTTCAAAGATAAGCATACATCAAATTATTTATATTTATTAGTCCATTTCTTTTTTACTTTAGTTACAGTATTAAATATATGTCTTATGCGTTTAAGGTAAAAGAATTTAATAGATGCAAAAATATATTAAAAAACCTCCCACAATTTTTCGTTATCATTAAATTTTATTTAAACATATATCAGATATAAATAAATATTTTAATATATAATTATGCATTTATAATTTTATAACATTAACTTAATTAATATAAAAATTATAAATAAATATTTCTAACACATTTTATGTTGGTAAAATAGGGTTCAAGGGATGAAGGTAAATAATAATTTAAAGTTTAATTCTCTGTCCATTATTTAAGTAATGAAATCATTTTTCAACTCAAAAAATATATATGACTATGTATTTATTATTTTATGAGATTTTTTGGCTCATTTTATGACATGAACTTAATTAATATAAATGTTATAAGTAAATATAGGCAAAATATTTTTAATATATTGCGGGGAATCCGGCTAAATATATATATATATATATATATATATAATATATTGCAGGGACGGGAACGTTGATGAAATGAGGTTAATGGATGAAGGTTTTTGGGGGATGGTCCTCGGCGGCTTGATTGAAAAGAAAGAAGGGCAATGTCGGAAGTGAAAATGGGAGGAAAAGAGAGAAATTGTTAAGTATTAATTTTTTTTGGGACCCACAATCTTTTGTTGCTCTGACCAGTCATGCCAGGTAAGACTGTATCTATCTGAATTGGTTTCATATAACTGGACAGATCACAAATTACATGGTGCTCCCGGTGCACGCAAGAATTTCTGTTAATGTATTGTTTTGACCAATTTAATTACCTGTCCGGTTTAGTACCTTAAGTTATTGCCAGCAAAGTGGTGTTTGGGCTGAAACATCTTGTTTTCTTTTCCCTTATTTGCAGATGTACAGAAACATTTAGTATTCGACAGCACCTCGAATAAAATTGTTTTCAATAAGAGATAACTATACTTTAACTCAAAAAAAAAAGATATATAGAAACAAAACTAAACAGAGTGATAGCGTTTAGCCAATAACTTATCATGAGACAGAAGAGAAAAAGCCTATGAGTATCTAAATGTCATAACTACGCTTAATATTGTCATTTTTTTCAAACACTTTTTGATATTAGAAGAATTCATAAATCACACATAACTGAATTTCGTAATGCAGAGTACACTAAATAGGTTTTGGAAATCAGAACAGAGTTGACTCTGCCATAGCTTGCTGCACAATATAGTTTCGCCAAGGAAACAGAGGCCAGAGATGTAAATTATACTGATGAGTGAATTCCCATGTATATTAAAAAACCAAAGTCATTAGCCCGACAAAAAAAGAAATCACCAAAAGAAGGACAGAATGTTTTGTGCAGGTCAGAATCTTTCAGGGATGTGTGAAAGATAAGAGGAAAATTGTTAGATCCAACCAACCACATATGCCTCCAATAGATTGTTGTCATCTGTTGTAAGAAAAGAGAGTAAGAATATTCAATCGAAAATTTGGTTGTTTAGCAAGTCAAGATGAGATTATTTTGTAAGAAAAGAGAGTAATAATACTTATATGCTCAAGTTAGGTGAATAATTCTTAGAGTATAAAATTAATTAGGTGTACTTGCTTCTGGGGATGAATTGTTTGATATTTTGATGAAAATGGCCGACATATATATATATTTCAAACTGGACCACCATATTTCCTCCACAAAAAAAACTGGACCACTACGTCACCCAAAAAAAAACTGGACCACTATATTCGCCACCATCGATAATCACCTTTCACTAGGGATTTGCAATTGGCGTTTATGATTTAAAAGCCACATGAATCGTACCACAGATAAATTAATTGATTTTAATTGATTTTTTTATAGTTGTGATCTGAAGTCATTGTCATTCAATAATATAATTTTTTTTATACGAAGCACTTGGCAGCTTTTTATCCCACTGACTATGATGGAGACATTCTGGAATTATTAAATGAGATAATATAAATTTCATATCAATAAGTACTTTATTTCTACTGTAGCAAGTCCATGGCATAAAATTTACGTCAAAAGAGAGAGTGTAGCTTGCAAAATAAATTACAATTCATGCCTATAAAAGGCGTAGGTTGAAAACATAAAACCTCGAACTTAACTTTAAGTAACCATCATTCTTTCAGTACATGAACGATCATATGGAGATACAGATCCCTTATACTATCATCTTCTTCACTTTCTTCTGCTTTTTCTTTGTCATCCACAAGCTATCTTCTTCCACAAAACCGATCAAAACCTTACCTCCGGGCCCATGGAAATTACCTCTCATAGGAAATCTTCACCAACTCATTGGCTCACTACCTCATCGTACTCTAGCAAATCTTGCAAACAAGTATGGACCCTTCATGCACCTTCAACTGGGACAGCTTTCTCATATCATAGTTTCTTCACCTGAATATGCCAAAGAAATAATGAAGACCCATGATCAGATCTTCGCAAACAGACCCAGAACTCTTGCCTCTGATATCTTTGCCTACAACAGCACAGACATCTTGTTTTCCCCATGTGGAAACTATTGGAGGCAACTTCGAAAGATTGGTACTTCAGAGATTTTCTCAGCAAAGAGGGTTCAATCATTCAGAAGGATTAGGGAAGAGGAGGTTTCAGAACTTGTAAGGAACATCGCTGAACATGACGGCTCTTTCATGAACCTCAGTAGAAATATATTCACAATCACGAATTCGATAATTGCTAGAACGGCCTTTGGGAAAAAGACAAAGAATGTAGAACATATCTTGGAAAATATGGAGAAATCGATAAAGATGAGTTCTGGGTTATCTATTTGTGATTTATATCCATCGCTGAAATTTATCAGTGTCATCACTGGGACGAGAGCTCGAATGATGAAGTTGCAAAAAGATGGAGACAAGGTTTTCGATGACATCATTGGAGATCACAAAGAAAAGGAGAGAAATAACGTTGGAGATGCAGAGGAGGATCTTGTTGATGTTCTTCTCAGGATTCAAAAGAATAATGACTTTGACATCCCCTTATCTCTTGACAACATTAAAGCTGTTCTTAAAGTTAGTCTTCGTGGGCACTTTATCATATATTAATAAATGTCAGATAATTTGTAATTTTATACACAAAATGCACAAGTGCACACACTCATCAATTCCTCTAATCAATTCTGTGAATTCCTTTTTCAGGACGTCATGTTTGGTGGAACTGACTCAACGGCATCTACAGCAGATTGGGCGATGTCAGAATTGCTCAAAAACCCAAAGGCTATGAAAGAGGCACAAGAAGAGGTATCGATACAACTGGAATTTTGAATGTTGCGTATCATAATTATTAGTGTTTTTACATTAATTTATAAATTTGAAATTATTGAGTTGACTTGTACATGAGTATTGTTATTGGCTTTATACTAGGTAAGAAGAGTTTATGGAGGCAAAGGATATGTAGATGAATCACAACTTCACCAACTAAAATATTTAGGTGCTGTCATTAAAGAAACCTTAAGGTTACATTCACCTGGGCCATTGTTAGCTCCAAGAGAAAACTACGAGAGTTGCGAAATTAATGGATATGTGATACCTCCTAAGACAAAGATTATTATTAATGCTTGGGCCATTGGAAGAGATCCCAAGAATTGGACTGACCCAGAGAAGTTTGAACCAAAGAGGTTTCTTGATACAATGGTTGAATACAACTTCAAAGGTTCAAAGTTTGAGTATATCCCATTTGGTGCTGGAAGAAGAATATGTCCTGGATCAACATTTGCTACGCCTATTCTAGAGTTGTTACTTTCCAATTTACTTTACCATTTTAACTGGAAACTACCAAAAGGAATGAAGGTTGAGGAATTGGACATGGAGCAGCCATTTGGTGCCGCAGTAAGGAGGCAAAATGATCTGATTTTAGTTCCTATTGGCTATTCCCCTTGAGTTTATGTGTTTAGTACCTGAATAGTGCTTTAATTAGCTGGTTTTAGATATCCTTGAATGTGTGTTGTTGAAGCCAGAAATAAATTATAAAAGATCGTTTTGCATTGAATATTTATTTTGTGGAAAATTATAAATTGGATGCTTTTTAATTTCAGAAAAGAGAGTAGCAAAATAAACCTTAAAATTGCGTAAACGATTTGTTTGTTTCTTATTATTAGTTCTCTCCAAGTCTCTGCAATATTACCTAACATTAAACTGATAAAATATAGGTTTAAATTTTTGTTGCTATTTTTTTATTCAATAATATTCAAATTTATTAGCAATAATTAAAATTTCATTCAACAAGATTGATTGTAATATAATTCAAAGGTAACCCGGATTTTTCGTTTGTATAAAAAACTCTAACTCTATTTATTTCGATTAAAATATCACAATTTGTACGTGTGTGCTATATAATCTAAAAACGAATTCAACAAGATGCCATGGTTGTTGATTAAGCAACGAGACCCGCAAAATTTAAAGATTCGTGGACTTAATCTACAGACAATTAATTTTAATATTTTAATTTGAATCAGATGCTGCACTATTGCCCTTTAATTTTAAATTAATCAAGGGTCAGTGATTTAAATCGGCCGGGGTTAACGTACCCACATTGCCGATGCACTGTTATTCAAAGGTATGCATGTTGGGATTGGTAGGAAAAAAAATGTCAAAGTTGATGTGAATAAACTAAAGATCTTAAATCAATTAATGACAACAAATATTTATATATTTTTACTTAAATTTATGTGTTTGATTTGTTGCTTCAATAATGTTTCGACCAGTTTTAGTTACCCCTGAATCGATGTTGCGGAAGCCAGAAATGAATAAAAAAATCGTTTTGCTTTGAATCTTTTTTGTGTGTAAAATTATAAATTAGCTGCTTTTTTAAACCTTTTTTTTGTAAAATGCTTTTCTTAATAATTTATTCATAAAAGAGGGCCGCACCATAAATATCAAAAGAAAGTCCCTCCTTCAAAGAGGGAGAGAGTATATTTATAGTGGCTTGTTAATTTTGCATTTTTGTATCAAATTAAAGTTATAATTTCTAAGAAAGGAATTTCCGCTACAAACCAATATTAATTAGAGTGTATATTCTTTATCCCATCAATAATAAATAAGACTCTGGAGGAGCACAAAAAATTTATTATCAAGAAAATTACATATTAAAAAATTTTAAATTTAAATTTCATCAAAACAGTAAACACTTGACTAATGAGGATCATTTACTTCTGGAGCGGATCATTTACTTCTGGAGGGGCGGCTTCTCTCCATCTCCCTTCCGCAGCCCCGTCCCTGCATGCATGTACCTTAATTCGTGGGAATCTTTCTTCGTTAGCCAACAAGTAACAACATCATAATATAAAACTTCAAATAAACATTGTTTGAACGGTAGCAAATTCAATGGCATAAAACATACGTCGAGCGAAAAGTAAAGGGAAAAAAATCATAAAGTCGATGGTTACGTAGAAATTTTAAATTACAATTCTTGCCTATAAAAGGCGGGCTTAACAACGCAAAATCTCACACTACTCACCTTTAATTACCATTCTTTCAATATGGACGTACAGATCCCATATTCCATCATCTTTTTCACTTTCTTTTGCTGTTTCTTTGTCATCCACAAACTATCTTCTTCCACAAAATCTATCAAAACCCTACCTCCAGGGCCATGGAAATTACCTCTCATAGGAAATATGCATCAACTCATTGGCTCACTACCTCATCGTTCTCTGGCAAATCTTGCGAATAAGTATGGTCCATTCATGCACCTTAAACTTGGACAAGTTTCTCATATCATAGTGTCTTCACCAGAATATGCCAAAGAAATAATGAAGAACCATGATCAGATCTTTGCAAACAGACCCAGAATTCTTGCCTCTGATATCTTTGCCTACGATAGCACAGACATCATCTTTTCCCCATATGGAAACTACTGGAGGCAACTTCGAAAGATCGGTACTTCGGAGATTTTCTCAGCAAAGAGGGTTCAATCATTCAGAAGGATCAGAGAAGAGGAGGTATCAGAACTCGTAAGGAATATTGCTGAACATGAAGGCTCTTTCATGAACCTTAGTAGAAAAATCTCCACGCTCACGAATTCCGTAGTTGCGAGAACGGCCTTTGGGACAAAGACAAAGAACGTAGACCAGATGCTGCAAATTATGGAGCAATCGATAAAGCTAAGCTCTGGGTTATCAATTTCTGATTTGTATCCGTCGCTGAAATTTATCAGCGTCATCACTGGGACGAGAGCTCGAATTATGAAGGTGCACAAAGATGGAGATAAGGTGTTTGATGACATTATCAGAGACCACAGAGAAAAGAAAAGAAATAATGATGGAGACACTTATCGTGGAAAACATGAAGGCTCTTTCATGAACCTTAGTAGAAAAATCTCACGCTCACGATTCCGTAGTTGCGAGAACGGCCTTTGGGACAAAGACAAAGAACGTAGACCAGATGCTGCAAATTATGGAGCAATCGATAAAGCTAAGCTCTGGGTTATCAATTTCTGATTTGTATCCGTCGCTGAAATTTATCAGCGTCATCACTGGGACGAGAGCTCGAATTATGAAGGTGCACAAAGATGGAGATAAGGTGTTTGATGACATTATCAGAGACCACAGAGAAAAGAAAGAAATAATGATGGAGACACGAGAGGAGATTTTGATGATGTTCTTTCTCAGGATTCAAAAGGATAAGGACTTTGACACCCCCTTATCTCTTGACAACGTTAAAGCTGTTCTTAAAGTTAGTCTTCATATGCAGTTTATCATATTCTTTTTTGGCCTGATGCACTTTATCATATTGAATGTTACATAATTTGTAATTTATTTTGATACTCAGATTGCATAAATGCACATACACACATTCCTCTAATTAATTGTATGAATCCCATTTTCAGGATATTTTCTTTGCTGGAACTCAAACAACAGCAACTACAACAGAATGGGCGATGTCAGAATTACTCAGAAAACCAAAGGTCATGAAAGAGGCACAAGAAGAGGTATAGATAAATTAGCTAGAATTTTGAATGTTGCATCAAAATTTTGTGGTTGTTTGTGTATACAAACATATATTACTCGTATAGTATCTAATGATACTTTATTTGATTAATTTATTCACATTGATTTATAAATTTGAAATTATCGAGTTGACTTGTACTTGAAAATTATTATTGACTCTGTATTAGGTAAGAAGAGTTTATGGAGCCAAAGGATACGTAGATGAATCAAATCTTCACCAATTGAAATATTTAAATGCTGTCATCAGAGAAACTCTAAGGCTACGTTCACCATTAGCATTGTTGGTTCCAAGAAAGTAGTGAGAGTTGTGAAATCAATGGATATGTGATACCTCCTAAGACAAAATAGTTATCATTAATGCTTGGGCCATTGGAAGAGATCCCAAGAATTGGAGTGATCCAGAGACGTTTGAACCAAAGAGGTTTCTCAATACGATGGTTGATTATAACTTCAAAGGGTCAAACTTTGAGTATATCCCATTCGGTGCCGGAAGAAGAACTTGTCCCGGATCCACATTTGCAATGCCTATTTTTAGAATTGTTACTTTCCAATTTACTTTATCATTTTGATTGGAAACTACCAAAGGGGATGAGGCCTGAGGAATTGGACATGAATGAGTCGTTTGGTGGCTTCGTAAGGAAGAAAAATAATCTCATTTTAGCTCCTATTGGCTATTCCCCGTGAGTTTATACTGTACGTGTTTATTCTACGAATAATGATATCTCGGCCGATTTTATGTATCCTTGAACCTATGTTGTGGAAGCCAGAATAAATTATGAATAAAAAATATCGTTTTGCATTGAATATATATTTTGTGTTAAATTATACTCCATCTGTCTATTTTTATAAGAAGCAATCTCTCTCATAACATTGTTCCTAACAAATTCTTTTTATCTAAAATTTTAAATTAGTCTTTTCACTTTTACCACATTAAAATGTGTCACTTTTTATCTCTGTGCCGTAAATGTAGTAACTAGATCATCATCTTATTGATTAGACCCCTTTCAGACATGTAAGTAACTAGGATATTTTGAGGGAAAAATTATAAATTCAGAAAACGGATTTTATATTTAAGGCAAAATATTAAACCCCAAACCAAAACTAGCTCCCAAGGAGTATAATATAGTGCTATATAAAACCTTGTTGGAATATGGCATATCAGGCTAAAAGATCCGTTGAAAAAAAATCAGGGTGAAGGAAAAAAGAATGTGTTTGTGTCATAAAAGGCGTACTTTACCACACAGAACCTTATAACTTGGCTTTCGTTGCCATCATCTTCGCCTTCTGCTAGCTTCATCCTTGCAAAAACCTACGAGCTTAATGATTACATTTCATGTGGATCTAAGCTAAGGGAGGTTTCAAGTTTCTCTTTATTTATCAATTTTATATGTTCACTTGACTAAATAAATCTTCACCTTCTTGTGCCTCATCTTGTGATCCCGCGGCAAACTCTCTTTATCCAAGTTACCTCTCAAAGGTGACGAACCTTAACCTTTTTGTGAATGTGAGAAATGTCTATGGGAGAGTTATATTCTATCAATCCATCGTATAAAGTTGATAACACTTCGAAGTCGAAGTAACTAATTAATGAATAATAAGTTACATAAGAGCAAAAGTGAAGCATTGTCTTTATTTATGTATAATTTGATATATTTATTAAAAATTATATGATTGATTTAATTTATATTAGAAGATTTTATATTTAGTAGGAGTCTTTATTGTATCCGAAGTAAAAAAAAAATTAGAATTATTTGATGCTCAAAATGCCGCCTTCTGCCTGTTTTGCTTTGATGCATGGAATGCCGACTTGTTTTGTCCCCCTTACCCAATGTTTGGTACAAGGGAATTGGAAGGGAGGTGAAGAGAAAAAAAAATTTAATGAGTTTGATTTAAATACTACTTCCTGTTCTTATTATAAATCTAGTTAACTAATTGTGGATATTAAATAGTTAGTTATGTTAGTTGTTTGTAGTAAATAGATAATGTTTTTCCTGAATGCTCTTAATCATGTGTGTTTGAATTACAAATTGATAGTATCTTCTTAACACATGCAACCACTATAGGGATTACTTAAGGGCAAAAATGAAAAAACATTGGAGACAAAGTAAATTGGGGATATTACATTTAGAACCAAATTGAAAATCAAAGTAACTCTTATATTAAAGACTGGATGTAGTATTATAAAAGGAAGGAAAGGAAAGAAAATTTTTAATAAGCTTAATTTTAATTTAATGATGTCTGATCTTTGCAAATAGGTCTAAAAATCTTGTCTCTGATGTCTTAACCTACAATCGCACACACATCATTGTCTCACCCTTATGGAAAAAACTACTGGAGGCAACTTCGAATGATTTGTCTGTTGGAGGTTTTCTCGAAAAGAAGGGTTCAATCATTCAAGAAAATAAGGGAAGATGAGGTATTAGCACTTGTGAGGTAGATCTCTGAACATGAAGGTTCTGTCATGAATCTTAGTCGAAAAATCAACGCATTCATGAATTATGTAGTTGTAAGAGCGGCTAGTGGCAAGAAGACAAAGAATGTAGAACATCTGCTGCAAATAATGGAGCAATCAATAAATTAAGGCTTGCTATTAGAGATTATCCATTGATGACTGATGTAAATTAATTTTTATTATGTTTGAAATATTCGGTTTCGCTATTCCAATGCAATAATTGCGAGTATTTAAAGCTTTTTTGTGGTAAATGTAAGTCACTTATAGGAGAAAGTTTTGGTGCTAAATATAAGTCACTTATAACACTTAATTTTATCTTTATTAACCTCACTGGAAAAAGAGAAATAAAAGAGAGATATGAGAATGATTTATAAATGCAGAGAGAGAAAAACTATACTAAGGGTAAAATTAAAAAGCTTTGTTCATTTAATGCATTTCCAAGTGTAGTGTTATTTTGTTCGGTGTTCGGCTTCAATAAAGAACAAGACTGGTGTATATATATTATTGATTATATTATAGAAACTCTGAACGTGCAAAATAATAATAATAATAATTCATGAGCCAAAAATTTCATACAGTGCACCTCGATCGATTATTGATGAACATTAATATTATTCACGAGCCGCAGTCACCCACCCCTTGTCAGCGAAATGCTCAATAAATGATCTCTGTATCAAAAAGCTGTCAATATTTTGTTATTTAATTCTTAACTTAGTATTTTTTTAGAATAACTTATAAATAATTTTTCAATCATAATTTATAAAATACGAGACAAATAGTAATAAAATTTTTATCTTAGTTTATGTAAAATGTATTTATAAGTGATTTTCACCGCTCTTAGTTTAGTAACTAAAGTTAGCTAGTCTAGTTTTTAGCTTGACACGCATGTGTCCCCTCTTTAGAAGTGGAATGATATACCAGGTCACTGTATTTCACGCAGGCGCCCCGTCCACATCACGCTTACTGTTAGGCCACTAATTTGTCTTAAAATTGAAAATTTTGCACCTTCTCTCTTGTTCAAATTTGCCTCACATTTCTCTTTTTTCTTGATATCTAATGTATGGCACCAATGAATAATAAGAAAGATAATTAATAATGGCTTATACTATTGTACTATTGACCAAGGATTTTTTTCTAGTAGATATTTTGGATAGGGAGAAGGAAAATATAGCGATTGCAGGGGGAATCCCTATCTATATATTATTTATTGTTTTTAATATAAGAACTAACTTAATATTAAATTTAGTTCTAAATATAATACTTTTATTTTGTTTCTCAAATTTATAATTTTTTTCTAAAACATTCTTATTAATTATAAAACACTCTCCTCAAAAAATAGTTTCAATACACATAATTAAATAGAGTAATTTAAAAAAAATCAACATATATTTATTATAATTAATTAATTTAACTAATTTTTTTAATCTTCTCAAAGTAATTGTCTTAGTTTTATATTAAGAACCAAATGTAGTAATCAATCAAACTCTTTTAACAAATTGGGTTGTTTCGTTTTGTTCAATCTCTAATTGGTATTACGTTGGCAAAAAATCTAATTGGTATTAAAAAAATTAATTACTCACGAGAAAATCCAAGCGAGCCCACCAAACATGATTGCCGCTTGTCCTTTTGTTTGGTCCCATAAATTCTCACCACCATCCCCTTTTTCTCCTCATCTCTCTACAAGAAGTAAAACCATTTCACACAAGCTACAAAATATTCTTTCAATTCTTAATATAAAAACTATCTTCTTTAATATCTTTTTTTCTCTTTTACTTGGTTATGGTTAGTATTCATGACAATTTAAAAAAATTAATAAATATAAAATATATATCTTATATTTAGAACCAGAATTAACTTAAAATTAGGTCCTATATTAAAGACTAGGGGAGTACTATAGTACTAGCTAGATCAAAAAATATGAAAAAATGTTTTATTGATGTTTACATAATGATTGTGTATTTAACGTTTTACTAACTTAATTTTGCCAAGTTAATTAACGAAAGTTAAAAAAAATTAAAAAAATTGAGTAAATATAAGATATAAAGAGTAGTTGTTCCTTGTATTTAAACCCCAAAAAAAGAATAATTTATTTTAGCATCAAAGTTGCAATTTCTAATTAGGAGTTTGCCCTACAAACCCAATTAGACTATACGTATTCTTTAACTTATCCCATCCACAACAATATATAGGACGGTAGGGATTAATTAATAAAATATTGGTTGTTTATACAGCAAGTCAAGTAGCAAGGGGTGGTTCTGTGAATAACCGTAGGGAAATACTGCGCGATACACGACAACACCAAAATGAAGCTGAGCCAATTCTTATCCTTAATTTTGCGTGAATGTGATGTACACATCCGACTATTAAACAAAACAATCTCTCTCATAGTTGTCTCTAAATATAAAAACTAAATTTTATTTTTCTGAAATTTTAAACCAATATTTTCACTTTTATCCTTATGAAATATATGTCACTTGTTATTTCTCCACAATAAATTTTTAGTCATTATCTTTTATGTGTTCTCTTTACAAATAAGGATATAATTTAAAAAATAAATATATTTTACATATTTATTGCTTTTAACTAAATTTAACTAATATTTGAGTAAAATAGATTGGCTAACTTTTATTTTATTTAAATTACAGAAACCTTTTTTGAAAAAATACATATAAACCTATCTTAAAATTAAAATATATGTTATACAAATCTTGTATTTTTAAACTTCTATTTCTATCGATTAAACTATTGGTTGACCATTAAATTTAACTTTCAAATTTTTATTTTGACCAAAATATCTCTCTTTAATATAAACATTATTCAAACATTTATATCTATAAAAAAAATAAT